TATAAAAATGTGACTTACCCTATATAAATTCTGCAGTGAAGTTCTTAATAATGTTAGTTATGTGCTTTAATAGCTAACTTGCTGTAAATATAAGGCCTATCTCAGAGTTTTCAGCTAAAATTAAAATATCAAGATGCACAAAGTATGTGTGCACTGCACAGAGGTATTTATCGATGTTTAAGTTTGATATGCATAATTTTTGATTGCTTTTAATATCTGTATCTTAATTAACTGAAACACATTCAGAAACATAGTACAAAACTGAGAATGAAATTAATTGAAACGAAAAATATTTTTTACAAAAGCATCTTGCATCTTAAGTCAGATTTATAAATTATATCAGTGATTATTTTAACTTCAGCTTACTCTTAGCCATTTCCATCAGTAGAATTAATTTCCCAGAGTGTCCTGTTTTACTTTTAATGAGTAGCTCTGAAGTTAAATTTGAGCTTATATGCTTTGTCAGTCCAAAAGATCATGACATGGGGGCTGGGACTGGGTAATGCTGAGCAACTGCTGTTCTACCTGCAAATCCCAGGTATGTCACTGAACATATCTGCTCGGTAGCTCTTGGAATCAGACTGAGGTTACTGCCTTTCCCTTTTATACCACAAACACTTGACCTCCCATTTTTGACTGGATAAATAGGAGGAGATTAAATAGTTAACAAGCTTATATTCATCTACCATCATAATAGTATGCTAAAACACAAGTATTTGGGAGGTAGATAATTATACTTCAATTTTGGTGATGTTTTGGCTGGGCACAAAGTTCAATTTTTCCAGTGACATTTGCTCAGTGCAGGAACTTAGAAGTCATGGGCAGAGTTGGTTAGTAGTTTGCGTGTGTTAAGTGGGCAGATAGGATTTCATGTTTCTAAACTTGTAACTGAGGAGATAGGCAATCTATGTTACTAAGCAGAGTTTTGCTGCCATTATAAATAGGATTAATTCTAAAGCAAATTTTGTTCCTACTAGATTTTTTAAATCTTTGGAAAAAGTAGCAAAACGGCAAAAAGTGTTAGGTCAGAATGAAAATGCAAATACTTTTTTTTTTTTTCATTATTTTTAAAACCTCTGTTTTAAATACAGCCTTTTATTAGCATGAGAACATGTCAAATTTCAGGTATTTTTTTAAAGTAAATAGCCATTTTTGGGGCATAACATGAAATTATTCATAATATGCATATTCTGAGAATGGCAAATTTTGTCCCTGAGAGGTAAAAGTCAGCATAGAAGAAAAAGGCAGGATGGACTTGTGAACAGTAGGAATTGTCAACACACAGAAAAGTGGCCAAGTTGCTAAGAAAGGCTGTTGTAACTCAACAGAAACCACACTTTATCAGTGATAAAAAAAATCAAAATTCTTCATTAAATGCTAGCAACTGTTCTCATTACCACAGAATTATTTTTGAAAGCCACAAAGAATTAAAATCGGAAGTTAAAGGGAACAAAATGCTTCTCTCATGTCCAAGCAAGTGAGAAAACAATGGAGTTGGAGAATATCTTTTAACATGTTGTCTTTGGCAACCCGTGTACCTGCATTCATACAGAAGCTTTCTGCAGCACTGTAACGTGTCAATATGCTCAGCTCCTGTTAGGTAAAAGAACTGTGGGCTCAGTTGGGGTGTCAGCTGAAGTGACTGTCATCCAGGGCATAATTTGCCATTTTGTAAAGGATTTGCTGTGTCACTGAACAGAAGACAAATGCTGGTAGTCTTCACGAATAGACACATGGTTATTTTCAAATGCCATGACAAATCCTTTTGAGGAACACATGCCTGATATAAGAAGCTTGACTCATTGTCCGTAAACTGTGTATCATTCTTTTGTTGTGAGTGAACCGTACTGTTGCACAGAGTACAGTAAGCTCGTATTACTGGTTGCTGGAGGGGGAATTTAAGTATTAAAAAAATGGGAGGCATGTGGTGGAGGTGGCTGATTAGCATCCTGACTAGCATAAAGCATCTGTGCCATGACACTGGTGAAATGCTGAGTTTCTGAGCTGTGGTAGTTTCTGTCACAGGAATAGCAGCACAGTAGTAACAATAAAGCTGAGGTTGGTCTGATGTGGAAGTGAATGTCTAAAATCGATACAGAGAGTGAAAGGAGTATTTCCCTCAGTTTAGGGAGAGGGATGCTTGAATGGCTTTAAGGCACTTTGTTACTGATTTTCCTTATACCCTAATGGTTGCGGGTATTGGGATCATAGCTAATATACAGATATACTAAAAAGACGCAAAATAATCTATTATTTTAGCTAGGTTTAGAGATAATTTATTGTTCTCTTGGCTTATTCTTAAATTCGTGTTAGTTCAGGACATGGCTCTGTGCCTCTGTGTCACCTCCCCTTCATTTTCTGTCTAATCTCTATTTAGTCTAAACTTTTTAAGCAGGAACTGCATCTTGCTATGGTGTTGTTTGGTTGGTTTTGGGTTTTTTTACAGTGATTTGCACAATCACCTAGGTCCTTGGACTGCTTAGGCATTCCAGAAGTGATGTTGCCAATAGTGAAAACTTTAAATATGATGAATGACTGAACTGACATTCTCCTAATGCTGGAAAGGCATTTTCCCATAATTCATAATAAAGCACAGATTTCACTGTATCTGATGGGTTCACTGAGACATACTGAAAACTATTGAGATACTGGAAACCAAATAATTCAATGTGTATTCATGTCTTGCTGTGGTGATTTGGTCTGTTCTTTTATGTAATTTACACACACGCAAACCTAATCCAGCTTGGCCTGGCACACTCAGTTCTCTAAAACCCCTTGCCTGGAAAATTAGATGTCCGCTGGTTCTACAGTTCTTCTTTGAAAATAATTATTACAACCAGGTTCATTAATTCATCTGTTGTGCATACTTCTTTCTGCAGAACTAGAGACAAAATTTACAGACAAGCATGACTTTCTTTGTTCTCGACAGAAAGCAGTGTCTAGGAACCACTCAACAAATGCCATGCGGCTATGTAGAAATTAACCCTGTTTCCTACCAAGGCATGCAACACCAGAGAACGCTGTGAACTTAATCCATAGGAAAGCTTGAGGAAAACATGGCAATCATTTCATAGAAGTCTAAGTTTATTTCGAGAATGGGAGATGGTATGTTAATCCCAGCACTCGGAAGTGTTAATTCACGATCCCTGTTCTGCTAAATTGAGAAACTACCATTCTTCGTCAGGTTACAGTATGTGTTCTGCAAAGCTTGGGCCTTTATTGTGTTTGAAACTTCTTCTGTGATTAATGGGGAGGTTTGTGGCAAGGGTTGAAAGTTATGGATCTGTCTCTGTACTTAATCTAGGGTTGTCTGAACATGAGATTTCCTAGATTCCAGTCGGATATACTGTTACTACTGGTTATTAATACTGTCGGTGATTGCCTGTGCCAACAAGTTTCTGATAATGTTCTGTCTTTTTCTCTAGTCCTTAAACCTTACCACTCTGGCCTCTCAGTGCATACAAAACCCCATACCTCAGTCGGCAAAATTAGGGAAATAATTCCTTGCCTCCATTAGATTTAAGCAAGTTAAGTTGGTTTCACTAGAAGGGGTCACAGAAGAATTCAGTGACATGTACTTAGCTTTTTGTGGGAGTGTAACTTTATAAATGCATTTGTTACTGTCCTAAGAATCATGTTTTCAAAAGCAGTTACAAGTTGTGTGCTCAGGGTGGCATGTGAAATGGCTAACGCTGGGTGGCAACATACTCACTCTTTTGTCTGAGGTTGATTTACACCTTTCATTTAATGTAATTATTTGTATTAAAAAAGAAGACATTAATGGTTAATAATGTCAGAGAGATAATTACCCGTAAGCGCAGATGTCCCTGAATTGCAGGCAGAACAACTTTTTAGAATCTTAATGGAAAAACTGAATGACTCCAAGAAGATGTAAAAGAGCTACTCTCTTTGTATCTCAGTCAAGAAAAGATCAGCAAAATTTAAGAGCAAAAATACTTCGAAAGACCAAAAATGGAAACTTTTTCTAAGCAGTAAACATTTTATTTCTGGTCATTAATAAAAGCATTGTTTAAGAGCAGCTACTCTTTAGAGGCTCTGAACAACATAGCTGTAAGATCAGGTTTACTAATCTAGAGGGGACCCATATGTCACGATGGTGGTCTTCTGTAGGCATAAACATAAGGGAAGTGTCACTGCCCTGCCCTGACTGCTACAGGAAGACACTGAAATCCAGATACATTGCATAAGTCATGCAGACACTGGTAGAGTCACTGGGCTTAGTCTAGCATTGTGCAAGAAACCATTGTGCATTGCAGATGGGGCAGGGTTGTGGTAGAAAAAAAAGCCATGATACTGCACATGAACATGCATGTCAGCCAGATGATTGCCACAATTTTTTTTCTCTCAGATTTTATCGTCAGTCTATTTCTTCTTTACATTAATTTTGTAAAGTTCCTGCATAATTTAATAAGCCCTGGAAGTATAGCTGATCCTTATTTCTATTTATTTTCACTTGGAATTGTAACTCTTCCTCTATCTGAATTTGTACTTTGGGTTTCAATTATGTGAATTTGAAGTCTTTCAATAAACATTATCTGTGTAGGTACTCTGAAGGCGGTTTGGGTTTTTGGGGGGATTTTGGGTGGTTTTGTTTGTTTGCCATAGTTTTTCATTGTTGGTACTATTTTGTCTGGTGAAGTATATGTTTTGAGTTAAATTTTGCAAGACTACATCTCATGTAAACCGTTTTTCTGTGTTTTAAAGATCTTAGCAGTTAAAAAAAAGTATTACCAGTTTTACTTGCAGAGAACACACGTAGAAACAGGAAGAGATTTAGAGCTGCAGTGAACTTGGAGCATGCCTCTTAGTGATATGTATCTCTCTGTGTGTTTTTAGCAATGTAGGAGAATAACAGATCTTTGTTGTTTTTCAGATGTCAAACTTAAATTTCTATCCCTTTCCACATGTGAATGGCAATATGATACCTGTACAAGCCCTTGTTTCAAGACGTGCAGGGACCCTCTGGGAAAAAACTGCCAGGCAGTACCAAAGTAATTATCTGTATTTATTTTTATGGAAAAGTATGTCATTTGGGTAATATACTTATGCAGCATAATAAAAATATGAGGGACCGGGTGTAGGCTCAGTATAGCAGGACTGTGTTCTTTTATAAGGAGGTAAGTGAAGGAGAAAAGATGGAATAAAACTTGCTGCAGCAGCTATGTGAAAGTGACATTCCAGTTGTTAGGTAAGTATTGACAGATTCTGGAATGACTAGTATATTTGTAACTTTCAAGCTGGGGGAGGTATTATAGAGCATTAATAAAGAGAGGTGATTACAGGTTGGTTTGAAATAGTTGTGCCCCTACTTTTTCATTATGGTCTCGCAACAGCCATGTTTGTCCTTGCCTTTTCTTCCCCATTGGAATTTGTGCTAAGTCTGGTAAAACTGGAATTTGGATTTTGGTATGTAAAAATGTTTGGCCTTTCTTAAGTAATAAAATTCAGTATTGAACATGCAGCTGTTCATTTCAAAGGCTGAGTGTTGCAGTGTTCGTGCTTTAGCTTGGATCTGAGTGAGAATGGAAGCCATGGTAATGACATTTTGAAGGAGTACATTGAGGTGATGAGATTTAGATATGGAAAAACTGTCTACTTAAAAATACCTTATAAATAAATTGTTTCCTAAAATTAGATGCTCAATCCACAAGATACATTCAACTGGTTAATACTAATTTTTTTCTTCTAGAGTGGAAGGATGCATCCCTGCCTGTCCTCTCAATATGTTGCTGGATGAAATCACTCAAAGATGCGTGTATTTTGAAGACTGTATGTTTGAAAAATTGTATATATTATGTATGATACTTAGCTTATTAATTTCTTAGGTCTTTAGTCAATTTTTCAAATATTGGTGCTTAAATTTGCATGACTATGACCTTAGCTATATGAATCTTGAGCTCACTAAACATACATTTTAGTTAAAATAATTTCACTCCTTAAAAAGCTCAGACAAATTTTAAAGAGATGTTCTTTCTTCAGAAAACATTTCAGTAACATATGTGGAGTAAATGATCTAATGAATTTATTTTTTAATTTTTTAAATGAATTTTAGAAGTTTTAAGGGAATTGAAAAGATCAAATTTATATGATTTAACACAACTTCCTTTTAGCTCTGCTAGTTTCATGACTATATTTATTCATAGTTTTTGGGCTACAATTTACTTGTGTCTGATTTCAGGCATTGAACCTGCAGATGATAGTCCACCTTTGGCACCCAGCATTCAAACACCAGCAGTTTCACATATAGCATCAAGTACAAGTTTGGCAATGATCAGTCGTGTACCTGAAGCAAAGGACACGGAAACCACACTTGCTTCAAAATTGCAGCTCACTGCAACTACAGCGAAAACTGAATTTTCAGCTGTTACGTCTAATACAACACTTCCAACCATAACTTTATCATCAAATATTTCTTCACCGTCAACAGAAATGATATCTGGGAGAAGCATTACAGCAATATCTGGGACAACAAAATCTAATGTGAGCTTGTCTTCTCCTGTTGACATTTCTCCATTGTTTCCGTCTACTGTCAGTTCAGAAACTTCCACAAAGATACAACCGATCAGTAGTAGTTCCACTAAACTATTGAGGGCTACAGAACCTCAGACGGTAACTGCTACACATGCAGTGACTACAAGCACAGAATCAGAAAGCAAACCAATTTCTACTTTTATTTTTACTGGGACATCCCTTATACTTAGAACAACAGAAATGCCAGTCAAAACTAAAATAATGGAAATATCAGAAATAGTCACAAAAACACTTCCCACAAAAGAAGCACAAGTAAAACCAGAAGGACTTACAACACTTACATCCGATTCATTTGCATCAATAACAGAAAAAACTGCTGCCTATGTGCCCCAGGTTTCTGCATCACCATCTCTGGGCATGCCTTCATATATACCACCAGTAAACCTAACAGGAACTTCAGAAGAGACAAAAATAGAACAGTCTTTGACCACAGTAGCTAATGTTACAGTAACATCATCTTCTCCCCCAATGACTACTTTGTTTAAAACAGTGTCTTCAGCAACGACAAAAGCGGCAACTGTTTTAACCAAACAAAGAGTGAAGACTACATTTTCACCAACATCCACACCACCTGTTTTATTAGGAAAGGCAATTACAGAACCTCATCAACACCTGACTGGTACTGCAGAGGTAGCTTTTGCTACAACTCTAGGTCCAAAGACAACAACTCTGCAAACTCAGGAGAGATCATCAGAAACAACTTTGTTACCATTTACAAGAGAAACTCACAAAACAGTATCTCACGTGGAGCGTGCATCAAGTTCCTATTTCCCTCTGCATTCACTGCATCCTAGTTCTACAACTGAAAAATCTGTCACTCTCTCTACAAGACCTTCAGTATCTGTTCCTACTCCTGCTTCTCCAGCTTCAGGTGAATTAAAAAAAACATTCAGAACTGTTTCAACAACAGGATATCCCTCATACATAGTTCTAAACACAACTGCATTCCTGACTACATTATACACTAAATATGCTGGTGTGGCTGAGACTATCAGAGTGACACCTTTGTCTGTTGAGGTAACATCCAAAAGAACATCCCCTTTTGCATTACCAGCCGAGTCAACTTTGTTTCCTGGAAAAACATTTCCTGAATACAAGTCAACTCTGGTTTCAAGTACGGTGAAGACAAGCGCTTCAGCATATTCAGGTAGTGTTACCACATCACCAGTTAAAACCTCTATCTCATCAAAAGAAACCACCACAGTTCCTTTTGTAGATACAGAAAGAGAGTCAGCTCAAAGAACGTCTGTCACTGGATCCCCACTGACTCTCGTTAGCGCAACTGAATCCACATTGTTGACAACACAACCTGATAAATCACAAGTGGAAAGAATTACTAGCATCTCTACTAGAAAGCCATCTGCTTTCCCCTCTTCACCATCAAGTTCTCTAATATCTTTAAACATTTCTCTTCCTTCACTACCCTCATATGGAAAAGAAGCATCACTGACAGCACTCAGTCCCGTGCATACATCCCATGAAATGATCTCTTTACATCCAAGAACAACTGTAGCAAAATCTATGTTACCAATAGAAAAGACCTCTCCAGTCCTGACTTTCTCTACTTTATCCACTATAACAGAACAAGCAAGTCCAATAACAACAGTATCACATGACAAATTGCCTGGCAAAGCTATTTTAAATATCACTTATGCCACGTTCTCCCCATCTTCTGAATTCAGCAGTCAGCCCATAACAACCAAAAAAGTAATGACAGCCAAAGAAAAATCAACTCTGTCGCCTTCTGTTGTACTTCCAGTAACAAAATCTTCTTACACTTTCTCCACCTCTCAGTATCTAGCAGATAAATTGGTCTCTTCTCCTTCTTTAACACAAATAATACCAGAAGTAACAACTACACCAAAATATCCAGTAGAAACTAAAATAGTTTCTACAGCATTGAAATCTACAGTCCAAAGTATAACAGATACAGTAAAACTTACAGCAGCTACAGCTCAGCCATCCTTTCCTCCATCTTCAGTAGGCCCCTTCTCTTGGCAGACATCTTCAGGAGATAAACTCTCAGTACAGACCACAAAGACCTTGGCTATACCACATTTTTCTACTCAGAAGGCTATGGAACTTGGTCATCAGACTTCTGAGCCTTTCTTAACAAGCCGAAGCAGTACCCCAATTTACCAGTATCCTGCAGAAACAAAATCCACTGCTCAGCCACAACGTGTCTTTAGCACGACTGAAGCTACAGTAGAATTGACTTCCTCATACCCCTTCATTACCTCACTACCTGAAGGCGTTCCTTCAAGTGTATTACCTACCTCAGTAGGTGCTACACAAGTGATTTTACCAGCTGAAAAGGAGGTGTATTTAACCCATTTAGTCACGCAGCCATATGTATCAGGAACTTCTTCTGTTTTGCAGTCTACAGTCCCAACTAGAACAACAGCTGACTTGATTTTTGGCACCAGCATCGTCCCTTCCTCACCAGAAGCACTTGCAGCTTCCTCTTCTTTAACAACAGTTAAAAAAGAAGCATTTCCTTCCTTTTCCACACAAAAGGCAGGTACTGGTCTAAAACTCACACAGCAGGCCTCGCTTCCTGAGTCAGTTGATTCAAGTCAAACACTTGAAGCTACTGCAGCTTCACCAGAATCTAAGTCAACCTCTTCATCAGTTTTGTTACCAGAAACAACAGAAATTCCCATTGTGATGGGCAGTGTGCCATCCACATCAACAGGCAAAAGTGGTACAGAGAAAACTGCAGTGTTGCCTAAGCGAGTCACATTTTCAACCACTGCCTACCACCCCACATTCCTGGCAAGTACAATGTTGTCGGCTGTGGCCCATTCATCAGCTGCAGCTTCAGCCTCTTCAGTGATAAGCAGCACTCGACAAAACATTAGTATTGTATCTGCAGCTTCAGACAAAGCAGAAGCATTAACAGAATCCATCACAAGTTCTATGAAGCCCACCTATTTTTCCATACCCCTCGATACAGTAAAATCTGAAGAGCCAGAATTAACAATAGAAGTCCAAGCTGTCCATACTCAAGGTGCCACTGCTACCCCAGAAACACCTCAGACATCTTACTCTCCATATTTCACAAACACATCGGCAGTTCCTTCTAACATAACTGTATCAGGACCATCCACTACGCATTCATCCTCTGAACCAAAACCTTTTTCTTCTGTAGCTGCATCATCAGTCAGTACTACTCAAACTTCAAAACTTGAAATGCCATCTGAGGTGCAAATGTCTGCTGTGAGTTCACTGCTAGCAGTATCTGACCGTCCAAATGATACAACAGCTCCATTAGTTTCCTCCTTTGCCTATTTGTCTACCAAACCAATTTATGGCTTGTCTACAACGTTTTCTGATGGACTGGTGACAGCTGAAGCGGTATCGGGAGTCACAGCATCAGCTTTTATGCGGCCTAGAGAAACAGCAACTCTTCAAACTTGTACAGTGAGTAACTGTACCTATTTATCCGTTTGATGTTGAGTACGTTTTGGTTACTTTTGCACACTGATTAAAAAAAAAATTATGAACCATACCTAGATCTCTAGGATTTAAAATATCTGTATCAAATAGGGAGCCCTATTATTTTATCAATTATATCTGTAACTTTGCATTATTTCATTGTGCATAATGGGTTTTATAAGTGCTATAATACTCTGTGTTTTGGGCCTCAGTTTTTCTGAGTGTGACTATTACAAGAATGGGTTTTTTGACAAAATATGGTGCTTCATATTGTTCAATGGCAGTTTTTTGTCACATTTTCCCTCCTTAAAGTGCATCTTTCAAAAGATGCCTGTGCCCTTCCATGCTTTTCCTTCTTAACTTCTTTTAATGTAAAGTTAAAAATTCACTAATGCTGTTCTCCACTTTACAATAGGACAGCAGTTTTAAACTGTCCTCAGAATGGTCGGGTTCTCAAAGATACTCTTCACTTGTACCTTCCCTCAGTGTCACAGGGATTCATAAGTATTCTGTACCTGAAGAATGTTAGCCTCTTTTTTTGAGCAAATACTCTGCAATATTGTGATACGAGCTTGGTAAGAATAGTAACCTGTGTCTTTTATTAAATATGCCTTAGCCGATCACAGAGAATGAATGCATAAAACACATTTGCTTGGATGGACAACTGATCCAAGTTAATAAGTCACAGAACTGTCCGTACAACACAACTCAACCCAGCTGTGGAGTTTTAGGATTTGCTACTCAAGTGAATGGTGACAAATGCTGCCCAAAGTGGGAATGTGCATGTAAGTTTTAATTATGCAGTACTTTTGAAGTGAATTTAGGTAACAATTTAAAGTATGTGTGAGAAGGCTAGGAACTGACATTTCTATACCATGGTGTAGAAATAGAAGATGCATATTATATGGGTTACTCATTGTCTAATGCAATTCATAATTCTAGTTCTACGTCAGGGAAATTAAATCAAAAAGCTCCTTCAATGTAGGATGTTCCTCTTACCCAGCATTAGGTATCTGCAGTGGACATGTCTAGGTCTGACTTAGGCCCATCTTGTCTTCTGTCTAATCAGAAGACACGTAGTCAGTGTAGATTTTTTGGTTCATCTTAGATCTACTTCAGGATCAGAAGATTCCCCAGGCTTTGTAACTAGGTTTGTTAACAGTTTGGGGACTCTGAAAGCATAGCTGTGCTGTTGTCACTCCCATCAGTTACCTAGAATTGGGCAGGAAGGATCTAAACTTTTTAAAATATTCAATTTAGTCTATAATAGCAAAGAAAGGATGCAGAGATGAGCAATGCAAATTTCTGCTTATGCTCTAGAGTTTGAAATAACTAGGAGCAGAACTCCAAGCCCTTTGAAACACAAAAGCTTTAGCAATAGGTCTGGGAAGAAGGAAACTTTCCACCTTAGAATCAAGACTAGAAGGGAACTAGGGATCTGGCTTGATACACTGTCATTCATTTTTTTTTGCTAGTTTGGGGTTTGGAAAAATTACAAACCTCTGCTGGCAAGAACTGTAAGAAAAGAACTGATTGCAGAGGCCTGCAGGTTGTCCCCCTGACATACACAGGATTTGACTCTGCTGTCCATTTATAGAGGTGCAGCAGTATCAGATAGAGCTGAAAGTATGCACTGCGTATATGAAACTCTGGTAAGCTAGTTAATCTTATAAAATTTTTTGTTTGTCTTTATATTTGGTAATATTTACAGAAATTCTAAAATAAGTTAGAAAAACATTTAATATATTTTTATTTTTATTAGGCCGTTGCACAATTTTTTCTGATCTCAGCATTGTAACCTATGATGGAAATCACGTGGCTTTATCCAAAGAAGCATCCTACGTTGTTAGTCAAACTCAAGATGAAACTATAACCATCCATGTCCTTGACTGTAGAATGGTAAGTAACATTTATCAGCTAACAAATGGTGTTCAGTACTGCTAATAAGATGTACCTTAAAAGAAGGAGCATAGAAATACTACATATCTGTGGTTAATTATTCACATCTGTGCAATATCTATGAATTGTACTTGCACTCTACAACACTTATGAGTTGTATAGCAATTTATCACCTGACTGTATATGCATAGTTCCTTCCGAAACAGCTGAAAGGTGAGCGGTAGGTCCGTGTTATTTTATTATGTGTGCAAAAGAGACAAGGTGGGGAGAGATTAAGTGGATGTACATCTAGTAGTCACTTCTGTGAATGCCATCACATAATAAGTACCACCATAGTGTAGCAGCGTACCACTCGTGTATTTTAGTTGCATGACTTTTATCTATGGCCATATGGAGACATTTGCACTGGAGACACCGATCTTCAGAGCCATAAAAGCCTGTAGGATTGTCAGACTAGATTAGACCACCCTGTGCATTTTGAGTTTCTGATGGCGCAAATACTTGTTTCAGAGAGGGAAGAGAGAAACCTTAGTGGGTATCCTACTGAATGGGTAATGTAGACTGTGTTTATGTCATGAAGAGTTAATTTCTTGTGAGCCTTTACAAAACTCTTTAAACTCCAGTCTCTTCTATGAAAGCGTTGCAATTTTGATGTCCATGTAAACATCCATCACAAAGTTTGTCCCAAGTAGTACCTTACAGAAGCTAATTCCAGAAGCTCCGTATGATGGATATGGAAAAGGAGATCTCACTTTCAGATTTGTTTTTCTGTTGTATTCAATGCTTTCTGTTTTGTTCAGCACCTTGTAGCTTGGAAAGTATGCATGTATTTCTGATCCATTACTTCTGTACTGTTCATGTATCATATAGATTCATAATTGTCAGTCTCGTTTTTGCTTTCCTTCAGATATGTAGTCCATGTTTTTCAGTGTCCTAACAGCTAGACCACCTTATTTTTTTTCTGAAAACCTTTATTTCTGTTTTAGTTTCAAGATTGGGTTATACAACACAGTTGCTGAACACCATGAGATCATAATATTTTGTTTATTTTGCAAGAATGCTATCCAGATGCCTTTTGTAGTCCGGACGTGAAACTACAATCAGCAGCAATTTTCCTCTCTTAAAAATATAGCACCCAAAAATTCTTAGTGTCCCAGTGCCTAAAAACAATAAACAGCTAATATATAAAGATTTTGCACATCATGACTATGGTTGATGTATTTTTGCTTTCTCCACAGAGTGATTCAGATTCAACTTCTTTGTGCCTGGCGATGTTGAATTTAACCTATGTATCAAACCAAATTATTATAAATCGTTTAAGTAGAAAAGTAAGTATTTTGAGGGTTTGTTTTTCTTTGCCTTTTAGATAGCATCTTACTTCTGTAATCAACTGCCTCCTCGTGTGGATACTGAAGATTAGAGTAGGACACAATAGGTAATATAATTCATTGTTCCAACTTTGTAATTTAGTAAACTGCTTGTGAATTCAAAGAGTCAAACTGTGATACAAGGACAATTAATGAGGTAAGTCACAGAGCAAGGCACATAAACTGTTAGTTTCTTTAGTACCTATATTATCTGTGCAGAGGTGAGCCTGACTTCTTTTGAAATTAGCTATGAGATAGATTCCTAAGCTGTTGAGAATCTGGCCTTAGTTCTTCTACCTACAGCACTTGGTACCTGATATTTAACGTCTTCTCTCTGTGTATTTTAGATAACAGTAAATTCAAGATTTGCTTCGCCTACTATTAGAAAATACGGGTACAAAGTCGAGGATTCGGGCTTCAAGTATGCAGTTGAGACCCCAACAAAAATCAGAATTCAGTGGTTTCACAACACAGGCGTGATGATTATTGAGTTTAATAATACCAGAGAACCAAGAGCTTTGGGACTATGTGGTAAGTATAGAGTAGTGCAAGAAAAAAAGGCATTCAGATGCTTTGCTAGGGAAGTGCATTTTCCTGATTATATAAGCTATCTTTTGCAGGATCTGGCCCAAAAGAGTTATTGCAGATCATTGTAAAGTTTGTGATACTATTAAAATTAAATTATTACTAATTTTGTTAATTGTTGAAATGTTGTTTGATGCCTATCCAGGTAATCACTTTTTACCCATAGTATTGCTTCTGACTGTAACCTGATTGAATCACAGGCATGTTGCTGTAACCAAACCCAAATAAGTCAGGCAAAAATCCATAATGTCAAATAAGGTCATTTACAGATTTAGTGTTTGATATCCATCTGATAGGAAGCAATATGTGCTATTTTTGGTTTCTAAAGGTCAGAATTCACAGGAAATGTTAACTTGAGAGAACTGATCTTAGTTTGTCTGTTGGAGCAAATAGTTCAGAGAGAATTTCTTAACAGTGGTGGGTTAAATAACCAAAACGTTGTGCTCTGTTACATCTGCTCAATAGTTTCACATAGAATCTTTCTAAAAAACACAGCCTTGAATAAGCTCTTGGTGCTATAGATTTTGGAAGCATATATTTGTTGATGTGAATCCTTACTGTGACACCTGAATCTGTAAATTTATCTGCTGTAAATTGGAGCTGGAAACCAGGGTTACAGCGTTCATACAATTACAGTGGATATCTTTCCAGTTCCAGAAAGGGCAAAGGCCTGTAGCTCAGTGTCAAATACCAGTGATAGCTCAGTCCAGTTCCAAGTCCTGCAGACAGTAATGTGCTTCTTGCAAAGGAAGAGAGTTTGAATTTACGGCTATTTTGAAATTGGATTGTTATCTGTGATTTGCCCTGACTTTTGTTTTCAACATCATTCTTAATCCATTTGGATAATCATTGTTGTAATGAGATCAAACAGAAACAAGAAAGTAACTTGTATTTTTTAGTAAGGCTGATTCAATTTATCCTGAATGTCTCTTTTACCTTTACCTGTTTGATTACTGTGAGAGGGAGAACTGGGAACATTACATTCCTGGTTTACAAGGCGCTTTAACTAGAGGGCAACACATTTCTGTGGATGATGTTCCAAGTACAACTTCTTCAGAGAATATGCTTTATTTTTCTGGTATTCGTCTCTGACTGGGATTCTCTGCATAGACCTGTCAGTGCAGTCCTGTCTGGTGTGACTTACCAGAGCCTGCTTTAAATGTGCTGTCTGTACTGCATCTTTTCAGGATAAACTAGTCTACTCTGATCTCCTGTGCTTTCTGTGTTAGTCTGCTCCTTGTATTTGAGCTTTCTCAGGTGTCTTTTGGCTGAACTGCAGCATTGTTAGGTCCTGATTTCCCAGTTTCATGGAAGTGATAAAACTGAAGATACCATTAAAGTTTTGTAGCAGCCAGCATCCCTTGGAAGGATCTGTGTCAGAGACAACAGTGTCTCTTACAGTGGAAGGATCAGGCAAGCGTGGCAACTGGTGAAGAGCTGGTGTGGGAGATGAGGGATGTGGGAAGGGAATATGGACATCACTGTAGCAAAACTGGTAAAAGTGCAGGCATGTCAGTTTTAGCTGCAACCAGATCCCACCAAGCCAAACGTGAAGCTTTAGTCTCCTGTGTCAATGTGTAAGAGAAGTGGTGGAAAAAGATATCCCAGACATGACAGCAATCCTTTGAAGTCTCTCAGAACCATCAAGTACTTTCAGTTTGTATTGCATAGACTCACAAATTCAGAAAGTTCAACCAGAAACATTTTCTGTTGAATGATGGTTACAGTTTCAAAAGCTGTTTGGCTTTCTGAATGCCTGTTGCTACATCACTGGTTGTCAACTGTGTGCTCATGTCATCAAGTATCGGTGAAAAATGGTAAAACAGACCACTTCTCTAGAAAAGGTTAAATCCACAAATAATTTTTGAAGAGATAAAGATGTAGAATTGCTGTGCAAATTTGTAGAGATGTCAGAAGAAAGCATTCTAGAAGTCTGATACAAAAGTCCCAGAAACTGTGATAAGGAGGAAAGGATGGGGGACTGGTCCATCATTCATCTTTTTTTTTTTTTTTTTTTTTTCCTACCAGCTGGCTCTCAAAGGGCCTTGGTAACCTTTTTTAAAATACGTTTTTGTTTAGTGCTTGCAACTGAGGGGTGAAGCTTGTATGCCAGAACTGGGCTGTTTGAACCACCTCTTTGATAAGCAATAGATTTCCTTTCACCCATCTTAATTCATAGATGCATCTTTACTTTTGCTTTGCTTAATTTATCTGAATTTTGTGTGCTTTGATCCTACCAGCAGAGGCTTTTCACATCTGTTGTGGATTGTGATACCGTCATGTTGTTTAAGTTTTTTAAAAGGTATTGACTTGTTTGAATATGCAACTTCAAATATACTTCAGAATGAACTGTGTGGTGTTAACCTTTTTTCTTATGATAATACACAGGTTTTTGTGACAGAAGCTTGGAAAATGACCTGATGCTACCCAACAGGACTGTTTTAAGCAAAAGTGATGCTCCATCAATTTTCATAGACAGCTGGCAAGTGCCAGGCACACTGAAGTATGTTGGAGAAGACAGGCATCAGGAAACTAATTGCTCAGTCATGGACTGCTCAGAGTGCTTAAGACTGGTGTTGAACCAGACCTTCAGCAGCTGTCATCCTTATGTATGTTAACTATTTTGGAAGCTTGCATTTTGAAAGAGATGCAGTTCTGATATAATTTTGTCTACTTGATAAATTTATTAATGTGAAACTACATGTAACCACATCTGTGGAATGAAATAGATACTTTTTTGTATCCGCCATTGCAAGGTAAAAATAATTGAGGAGTTTGCCAGCTTGATAGGAGACTGGCAATAAACAACTAACACCTTCAGAATTCATTATATATATCTGTTAGTTTTGACAATACTGTTTCATTTATAAATCAGTCCCAGCTAATTTGACTGTATCAATATGATGTTGAGTGAAGTAAAATAAAATAGTTTTAGGATTTAATTAATCCTTAAGTATTCAGTAATTTAATGAGTTATGAATCACAATAGGTACTCTGAGAGCCTGCATTCTCAAAGGCTCTAGAGACAAGGAGTTCCAGCTTAGAGAGACAAGAGGGTAGAACAGACCATTTAAAGCAAACCTAAAGCAAATAACAAACTCAGTGTGCAAATGAACTATATATTTGTGCTCATATGAGTACATTTACCATTTTACCTTGTGCATATTGTTGAGTTTGGTGAAGAGGAGGCCAAAAATAGACAAAAACATAGAGGTATGGAAGAGAAGAACAATGAGTAATTATGCCTTCTGCTGGAAAAACTGTTAGCTCTTGCCTTGGCACATATGAGAGGTTAAACTGAGGAACATAGATATTTTTTATATACATATATTAACAAACAAATATTTTTTATCTCTTTTTTTTTTTTTTATATATTCAAGAAGCCTTACTTTTAAATACTAGTAGAGTCTCTATACACCAGTGAAGTCTGGTGGCCTCTTTCTTACTGTGAACTAAGAACTTTTGGCTTTGTTGGTAGCTGATATTTTAAAAGGTCAATCTGTTTCTTCCCTAGCAGGGTCTCTGTGAAGGTGCAGTATTTATTTTTTCTTTATTAGGTTCCACCTGAGCTATTCTGCAATATGTGGGTTCAAGACACTGAGTACATTCGAAATCCATGCATTTCACTAGCTGCCTATGTGGCAATGTGCAACAAATTTAATATTTGTATAGAATGGAGGAGCTCTGATTACTGCCGTAAGTATTCTGCATGTATGTGTACCTCTAGCATTCACTGAGATAAAATTGGCCTAATTTAAGTGTTACTGTAAGTCGAAAAAATCAGTGCTTTTTGAGTCCTCACGTTCTTTGGAAGTCATTATTGAGATAATAAAATCAGCATTTTTTTTGTGGTGCAATTCAAGGCAGCATGCAGAAGGAATCAGGACCATTATAGCCATTTCACAGATGGAAAAAGTAGGCTAAAGAACCTTGCTCAGAAGTCTACCTCTGGCTTATAATGTACTTTACTGTGGAAATCAAATCTTCTCATTTGCAATATAGTGTTCATTTCTCTCAGCCCCTTTCCACTGATAAAACAAAAACACAACAGAATTGGTAGTGGAAAGGAGGAAGCCACAGAAGGTTCTGTGGTACTTTGAATTGATGATGTTTGCTTGATGCTGCTCCAGAAAGCTGAATCTTTGGAGAAGCGATTAGAGAAATGAAACACCTTTGAGATAAGATGGAAAGTAAGGAGTGAAAACGTGGGAGCTAGAGTATCCTGGCAGAAGACTTCTCCCATAGCAACATACAAAATGTAAGGCCAAATGGGATCTGTAGTTGTCAGTAAACAGAAAATTTGAATTACAGCATCTCTTTATGCTGTCAATGATCGCCTAGGAAAAGCCCTATGCAGTGATAACATAGGGAGGTCTGTGGTTTCAGTGGTTGAAAGGGAAAGACTTATTGATGAAGCATGATCCCCAAAATAAAAGAACTCACTATACATAGAAATCATAAGGTGATGTCTTTTATGAAGTGATTTAAGGTGGATACATGTGTACAGGCTCATGAAAGCATGTTGTAATGCCCCATAAATAATAGTTATTGAGTCTAAAGCTTAAAAACAGTCAATTTAAAAAAGATTCTTAAGTTTGTATGGATTTTGCTAGCAAATAACAATTTAAAAAGACATCTGATAAAATATATCTGTAAATATAGTTAAGTATTCCATCTATTGTGAAGGGAATGCATCACTCTCGTATTTTTATATCACAGTGACCTCTAGTGGTGCATGCTTAGCTAGGAAGAACCATGGAGTCCTGCCTGCATTTTGTGTTGACACGCTATAGACTGATTTTTTTAAAAGCCTGAGTTCCTCTATTTACAGGGCTCTAATAGATAGTTCCTGTGGGGCATTATGGCCATTTTTAGTAGTGAGGAGCTGAATAAAATCAACTTTCTCTCCCAGTCCCTTTGTGAACTGGGCCTTGTCTCATTACCATGATTCCAGATGGTGTTGCTGTCTGACTTAGGTATCATTACACGATGAGGATCATGTATTTTGTTAGTTCACAGAGCCACACTGTTGGCATTTGTAGTCATTCTCTGTTTGCCATATTTATGCAGCTTTAATCACTGTTTTGAACCAGTGAAAGATCACGTTAAGTTTTCAACAGCAAAAGTTAAATCAAAATGAGATGCTTTTCTATTCTGTTCCTGCATGCACCCATAACATGGCAATGAATTTACATTAATAGTATAAAGAATGATAAATTTTACTGTGTTTATTAACTTAAAAATAACATGCGCATTCAAGAGAGTAATTAATGTGGATATCTATTAAATATAGTAATGCCTTCATCCCATTCTTTATTATTCCTCATAAAACAATGGTGACTTTGCCTTTACATAAATATTTTTGTAATTGATAAAGCTTTGTCCTTTAGTAATGACTGCATTTTCTTTAGCCACTGCAAAGTATTGACAATGACACAGAACACTGTATTATTAATCTGTGTAGTAGTTGCAAATGTTTTTGAAGTTTAAATTACTTTATGTCAACACTGTTGCATGGTTTGATATCTCTACTACCAAAATGCAAACCGAAGCCTGATTAAAATGTTATTACAAGGAGAAGTGTTTGCAATTTCCTTTTGTTTGAATTTGTCATGTAAAAGGTAACTGGTCTGTACTGGATTTTTAGGTTGGTAGATCCTACTGAGTTGGCAAACTTCCTTTTGTTTGAATTTGTCATGTAGAAGGTAACTGGTCTGTACTGGAGTTTTAGGTTGGTAGATCCTACTGAGTTGGCAAGCACAGAAACTTGACAAGAAGACAGTAATGTCTTCTCTTAGGTACTGCCTTGTGTGATTACACCTTTAGAATGAGTGATTTGTTTATTTCTGTCCTAGCCTTCCCCTGCTCTGAAAACTTCTCCTATCAGGCTTGTATAGCTGCCTGTGAGGTTGCGGATAGTTGTCAGAATAGCGAGATTACTTCTCTGGACTCAGACTCCTGCTCAGTGTTGACAGAAGGCTGCGTCTGTGCTGGAGGGACCATCCTTCACCAAGCTCATACTGCTCTCTGTATTCCTGAAGAAAAATGTGGTATGTTTGGATGTAATTTTCTTCTTTATTATCTGCAATTTGGTGGTTGGATGCTTCTTTAGTAGTAAGTAGAGTTCTGGCCTGATGTTGTGTGGGTTCTGCATATGTCATTCGGTTAAGGACTCTAAGTATTCCGTAGTCTTTAGCTGTACAGGTGAGCAAGCAGGGAATGTCCTTGTGACATACAGTTCTGCTCACCTTCTCTCAGCTGGAGGATACTCTTCAAAATGGAAGTGTTTGCTTATGTTCATGCATTCTACTATCCTAAGTATGTTAATCTTGGCCTCTTTTTCACCTAGCCCTTTGCCAAGGGATCCAACATATTGGTATGAAATAGCATTGAAAAGACATGCGGCAACAGTTAATTACACATTTTGAATAATATATATATGTGTCCTATGTTCTTTCTGCCAGAATTGATATTTATTTTCATTACAGTTCTGCCTAAGCACAATAAATTTTGGACCAATACTTAACAGTAACACAAACCTGAAAGGTGCAGTTTATTATGAATCAGATTACATAAAGCACTGTAAATTAATAATAGTTTTGCTATGTGTGAAATACAAAAGTAACTTATTTTCAGATTAAAAAAAAGGATTGGATTGAGATTTTAAGTGGAGACAAAACGAAGTGAAGGCCCTGATACTCTGGAAGATATTGAGTGTCTTGCATTCTCATACAAACTTAGTCTCATATTGTCTCCTCGTTCACTTTTTTGAGGGGTCATGCAGATAGGTGATACATTTAAAACTCTGATTTTTATACTTCATAGTTCCACACCCACTGTGGAAGAAAATGGTGGTCAAAATTTGAAGTAAAAAGGGAGGACTTCTGTTTTCTGTTGTCCTGATCTAGCTTGTACAGACAGCTCAGGAGCACCTCATGCAGTAGGTGAGATCTGGAAGACTTCTTTGAGCGGATGCTGTATGCAAAAATGTGTTGACAGTGAGACCATTATTCCAGTGGAGTACAACTGTTCAGATATCCACAATTTAGACTGCCAGCGATTTGCAGAAGTGGCCTTGCTTGTTCCTGGTGATCAGACATGTTGTCCTCAGAAGATCTGTAGTAAGTATGATTATGAATACTGCCCACTGGAATATGCAGATACCCTTTCTCTGTGTTTTGTTTTCCTGTTACCCATCCCACTTTTGAAATGAATGGAAATTACTTTGGTTTGAGTTTACAGATTATCTAGAGAACTGTAGAAACTTTGTACTATTTGGCTCAAAATTCAGTAGGTTTTGGGGGAGAGTTAGAGGGAGTGGACAAGGGTTATAAGGACTGAAATAGCTCTGTTTGTTTGGATATGAGTTACGTTTCTCTCAGCTGTACAGGCTACTGATTTATTTTTAATATCCAAATCCAAATGAATGATATAGCTAATTGCTAGAAAAAAGATCAGATGATTGTTTATATAATTTACAAAGTGAGCAGTAGAAAAAACTTGTATAACCTTCTTTTAAAATCCTTATTTAGCTTAGAAAGTCTGTCTTCAAAAAGAGATTGCAAGCAGTTTATGTGTTTTGACCACCTGGGATATGATGTTGCAGTGAGTTTTCCACAGGAGTTTTTTATTTTCAGTTCTCATAAGGACTCGGCTCTAGTTTAGCTTTGCCTACATAGAGAGTGTTGCAAATGCTGGACTCTTCTGAATATTGCCTCAGGTTTTTTTGATAGTTTGTTGTGGTTTTCTTATGCATGTTGTTATTTGGAGATTTGGGGTCTTAAACTGAAAAAACTGCTTGCCATTGCTCTACTTGACTTATAAATGCATAAGATAGTTTAGAAGTTTGTTTTTTTTTTTATTTCCCTTTCTGTAACAGTTTGTAATCAGAGCCTCTGTGAATCCCTAATCCCTGAGTGTAATGGCTTGGAAAAGCTGGTCACTTACTACAGTGAAGAATCCTGTTGTCCCAACTACGTTTGTGGTAGGTTTCTTTTGAAAAGGTAAAAAAGTTCACCCTGTAAAAGACATCCAGTAAACTAAATACATCAATTTGGAAGCAAAAAGGTAGTTAGTGTAGACATCAGTGTTAGTATGGCCATTTACAAAATTATCTTTCATCTAAAAGCTCAGGGCTGGTCTGTGCCTCAATTTGAGCAGATATAATGACGAAAGGAGTCTTGTGTTTAACAATCAGGTGAGAATGTATCTTTGCTCTCTTATGATACAAGGTAAAAATTTTTCTAAAGTGTCTTATAGTATTTCTCTGCTCTGCACTGCCACTTCTTAGGGATATTGCATAACAAAGGAGGAATGCTATACTTTGTGTAAAGAAATACATGTGTTGTACTTTTTTCAGAATGTGATCCAGCAAAATGTGAACCAGTGGAGCAGATACCAAGCTGTCGAGATGATCAAACACTAATTGTTGCTCGGGTGGAGAGTACCTGCTGCATTTCCTATATATGTGGTACAGTACCCTGGCTGGCTGAGACTATAAGTGTTTTTGCATATGCAGTGATGTCCACTGTATCTTGCCAGTTAAGCCTCCTTGTCACAAAATGGCTTTGTGCAGCTGAGCAGTATTCTTCGGTCATGTAGAGAGGTGGTGGTGGAGTCCGTGGATAAGGGAGTTGAGGGCTTTTGAGAGGCTGTCCATATACAGTGTGTGGGCTAGGTGCATGGATATTTTACCTGGAAGAAGACCAAGGTTATATATGCTCTTGTTCCATATATCCTGTTGTATCAGCTATGGCCCATCTTACTCAATGGTAAATATCCCATATGAGAGCATTATGCAAATCTCTTCAGTTCTTTTGGGGCTTGGCCTTTAATGACTTAAATAATAAAATTGCACTTTCAGCATCAGTATAGGAGTTCCAATGATAATGAGGTCCTGTTGAATTTACTCTTATTTTTGCACAGAGATATCTGTGTACCAAAGGCCAAGTAATCTTGATTAGCTCTTCCATGTGCAAAAATTTGAGTGTTAATAGAAAACTGGAATTACACTTCCATTATTTACAGTAATCAGGGTCACTTTGATCATGAGATAGCTTTGTTTAGTTCTTACTGTCTGCACAGCATCCTTCTGTCTCTTTATTTGATAGAAAGTCTTTGCATTGTACATATGAAAACCATGATAGGTACTTTTTGATATGTGTTCAAGTGGGAGGATAACACTGGAATCACAGGAGATGCCCTTTATTGGTGAACAAAGGTCCTATCATTTGGGCAGAGGAGCATTCCTGAAAACAAAAGGGTGAGTTGCTAGGAGAGGAAATCTAGCAAAATATTTTATAACAGAAAGGGAGAGAAAATCCTGTTTGTTGTGATCTGACTCACAAACAATATATTCATTCTTTATAGCAGGGGACAGAGAAAAGGCAAGCTGTGCTGAAAATTAGCCCCTTGTATAGGGACTGTAAGGGATGAATTCACAGTATCTCTGTTCTCTTCCATATATGTCTGTGACAAACATATGGGCATGTTTCCTAGGCAGTGGTAAAATTTCTTCCTGTGTTTTAGATTTAAATAATTGTTTTCTCCAGCATGCGGGGCTTGCTCTGATCAAATACCCAAATGTCAAGAAGGAGAAGTTCTTATCGTGGATGGCAACACTACGGAGAGGTGTTGCCCTACATACCAGTGTGGTAAGTTTGACTTGATTTTTATATTTTAAGTAATATCAAATTTTGGATAAAATAATGTAGTTAGATTTTGTAGTGTGGATGTTCATTGCCAAACATGGTGGATTAGAGATACAGCTCCACTTGAACATATATTTTCATTTGTAGTCCCGAACAAATAATATTTGCTTTTAAAACTTTGTGTGCCTAAAGCATTATCTGATTATCTGTATTATGGAGACAAATGAGTAATTTCAGGCCCAAAAGTCTGGAGATTTTAAAATATTTCCCTAGAATAGTTGTACTCTATACTTTTATTACCTGATGGCTAATGATTAAATTTTCATTATTAGGCTTTTCAAGTAAGATGTTTTCTAAAGGTATTTATTACGAATAAGTAATTTGCTGTCTCTTGATTCCTATCTCCGTTCATCAAAATATGACAATCTTGTGTTTATTGGACTTCCCTTTTCTTAATTTTAGTTTGTGAAATACATCGCTGTCCTGAATTCAAATGTATGCTAGGCATGTCTTTGGTGGAAGTATGGAGCCCAGAGAAGTGCTGCCCCTTTCGGAGATGTGGTAAAATGACTGATTTTCATTTTAGTTGCCTTAGACAATAAGACACTGACAAGAGCTTGGGCCTCTTGGGTTAAGTCTGGTTTAAGCCAGCTATACCATTGTGTTCTCCTCATGAACAAATTATCTAGAAAAGTCATCTCATGGTACAGAACTTCGTAATCTGCCTGTTTTGTTTTTTCTTGCTTCAAAAGGGTGATAATGTACTGTAGAATTTGCCCATCCAGACTGGGTGACTTATGATACTGAAAATTTTGTAAGAGTTGATAAATTATTTATGGCTTTAAAAAAAACCCCAAACATTAGGTTCACAGGTCAGGAATTTGCCAGTTTACAAAGATTGTAGTATATCATACATCTCTTTGTAATGCCTTAAACACAATTCTCCATTGCTTTATATTGATTGCAATGATTGTCATCACTGCAAGGGGGCTAGCAGTGGCTAGATTTATCATATTTTTTTTAATGTGTTCAGCTGGACTGCAGTTGATGCAATGCTGTAAATTGTTGTAATAAGTAAAGGTGGTCATAGAAGCTGGTATTAGTTTTCAGGATGGAACAGAAATCAAACATAATTCTAGACTCTCCAGATGGGTATATTTCAAAAACCAGCAGAACTTCTTTAGTGATGACTTTTAAACCTGGAATTTCTGATCTCTCTGATGCTCTGTTTTAAGCAAATGGAATATAACTTTCTAAACTATTGTTTCTATTATTCTATTTTGTTTCAGAATGTGCGTGTGAAACGATCCCTAAACCTCAGTGTGAACTGGTATGAAATTCATTTTCTTTGTCGGTATTGTTTTATTAATTTCTTAATAAATCTGTTCATCAGTATCTTATAGTTTTATCAATGAAATATGAAATGTCATGTCATTCTCTTTTTTAAAAATTGCTTTACATGAAGACATATCCATTTTTAAGAAGCCAGTTAAGTTTCAATATCTTGCAGAATAAAATGGCTGTACACCATTGATATTTCACAGAATCACAGAATGTTAGAGATTGGAAGGGACCTCAAAAGATCATCTAGTCCAACCCCCCTGTCAGAACAGGAACACCTAGATCAGATCACACAGGAATGCATCCAGGCGGGCTTTGAATGTCTCCAGAGAAGGAGACTCCACACCCTCTCTGGGCAGCCTGTTCCAGTGCTCTGTCACCCTCACCATGAAGAAGTTTTTTCTCACATTCAAGTGGAACCTCCTGTGTTCCAGCTTGAACCCATTGCCCCTTGTCCTATCACTGGATGTCACAAAGAGCCTGGCTCCATCCTCCTGACACTCACCCTTCACGTATTTATAAACATTGATTAGGTCACCCCTCAGTCTCCTCTTTTCCAGGCTAAAGAGACCCAGCTCCCTCAGCCTTTCCTCATCAGGGAGATGTTCCATTCCCTTCATCATCTTTGTGGCTCTGCGCTGGACTCTCTCCAGCAGTTCCCTGTCCCTCTTGAACTGAGGGGCCCAGCTCTGGACACAATATTCCAGATGCGGTCTCACCAGGGCAGAGTAGAGGGGGAGGAGAACCTCTCTCGACCTACTGACCACCCCCCTTCTGATACACCCCAGGATGCCATTGGCCTTCTTGGCCACGAGGGCACAGTGCTGGCTCATGGCCATCCTGCTGTCCACCAGGACCCCCAGGTCCCTCTCCCCTACACTACTCTCTTTCTGGAGTTTTTTAGGACCGTATCCTGCCCTATAGTATTTGTGGAGTGGAACTGCTTTCATGCACCTGAGGATAATTTTTTTTTTTTTAAATTGTCAGAACTAAATGCTTTAAAGCATCAGTGTTTTGTTAATATTGTTTGTTATGGTGAACATGTTAACATATATCATGCTCTCAGTCTGCTAAGTGAAACTTTTAAACTGTATTTCATTGTGACTTGTTCTGCATTACAAAAATGCTTATTAGCGTTGCTGGGTTAGGTTCTCAGTCAGTACTGGGTATGCTTTGATTTTGCTTGTCATTATTTTATCCAGAAAATAACATGGTGATGGGAATAATTTATAAAAATTATAATTTGGAGTCCTAGGAAGGAATTAGAAATAGTACTAATTTTTTTAATGGAGGAAATTCAAAATGCTTTGTGAGGTGGTTGTTAGTACTTTCATTTCAGAGGTGAAGAAGCTTGGGCATAAGAAAGCAGGACTTGCAGGAAACTGTGAGAAAAATCATAATATA